AAGTACAAAACGATCCACTTCAGGCAATTTAATTCAAACAACTTCCGGAAATGCGCTCTACTGGTCTGCACTTCACGAATAACCAAGGTAATACCATTTAAAGTTAGTCCGAAGGCAGCACATCCCACCCATCCTTCAGTCAGTTGTGCTGGCTCGAAAAAGCGGGTCTGTTTGGGAACACTGATGTCTTAATTACAACGAAATCAGTTCGTGGGATGACAGCGATTGCATTTGTTCTCTTGCGCTTGTCATTTTTTTAGTTTAGTTTACTTTTTAGTTGAAGTAGCTGTGTTATAATAAACGACGATTTTTCTCATAAATAACCCTTGGTACACATTTTACTCACTTCTCCTGCGAGAGAGTAGACGGTGCTCCCGTCCCTCTAAATTGAGATGCCTAGTTACCCTACAAATGGACACTCTGTTACGTAGAAAGCTATGTCTTAAAATTTCAGTAGATGAACTGTTCAGCACGAGATTAACCAATCACCAAGTCTAAAAACAGATACCTCTCAGATATCACGTCTTCAAAGAAGGGGTCGCAATTTCTTTCAACATCACAGTCAGTTGTAATTTATTTCTGTCTCCCTCCGAAGAACGGCAAACGACAGGTAGTTTGATAAAAGCCACAGCATGAAGTAAACAAGAGATAGGGATAACGTTAAAGTTGTTTAAAAAGTGGCTGAATGCAGTTCAGTAGCAAATTAGAACAATTCTTGAAGATCCTGTGACTATAAAAGGCGCTGGCGCTAATCTATTTCGGGTCGGAAACGTGACCCAGAAACAATGGTGTTCCCGCATTGTCAGCGATAGCAATCACAAATGGATGTGTGACTTTAAATTCCACCGGTGGTGGAGCTATATGACGGGACCGGAAAGCCATACCAATTCCAGTGGCAGCCGCGGCCTCGGCTCCTTCTTCGTTAACCTGAAGGTAGAATAGGAACCAAGTGAGATTAAATACAGTCGTAAATCTCTATGAATAGCAACGTGAACGGAGAAAAGTCAGTTGATGCCGTCTACATGTTTTAACTGAGCTATTACAGCATTTCTATAGTCAGGCCTGGATTATTTAAGAAAGCAAAATGGAACCGGACTAAGTGCGGACTTTCGTTTACCTTGAAGCTCAAATTCTTTTTATCCTCGGTGTTATTGACCGGGTGGGAATGTGTTCCAATTTTCTGTCAATTCGCCTTTTATCGTTCGGGATGTTAACACCCAATTTCACGTTTTAATTAATCTAGGGACTTTCATTTTCAAGTTCATTACGTTCACGTCTACTTTTTTAACTAGCAATATTACAACACCAGGACTTTGTCATCCATTTCTAACAACACCGTTCAAACATAGTGAAATAATGCCATTAATCATGCAAGACCTCATATTTTGCGACAAATACCGCAGAATACAGACAAGAGAGCCTAAGAAGCCTTGATCATTCCAGCTGCTGGAACCTTTCTTAAACCCATGTAATAAGGCATTTCCTTATTCACTAGCATTTCGTAAAATATGCACGCCCTTGACTTGTCACATCAACCATCAGCAAAATCAAATCGATCATAAGGTAAAAGTTACCGTCTAGAAAATCAAGTCTATCATGCAGCTTTAAAATTATCTTCTGGTAAAAAGGGATGGGTCACCAGGTAGACAAACACGTACACGACAGTAATTTTGTGTTTTTCTTAGAATAATCTAGAACGGGGATTCGTGAACCGCTAGTTTTGGTTCGACAATTAATCGCAAGGGAATTACCCACCTCTAGTACAGCGCAATGATAGATCGAAGATACATAGAGACCCGAAATATCAGTCAAGCCTGAGAAGTCAGCGACGGTATCATCGAAGATCTTGCTGACACCCAACTTCATCATGCTTGGAATAAGGTCCATAGAAGGTTCACCTTCACCGATTTTGAAACGGGGAAGGTATAAATGGACCTCTCGTGTGCCATAATGCATCGACGAGAGGAACATCTCCAGGAAACGCTGGTCACCGCAGCCATTCGCGGTAGGACCAACAGTGAAGAGCTTTTTCAACAACTGTGGTAGTCCATCTTCTTGATTCGGTAGCAGAATGAACATTCGCAGCCTAAGGGGGTAAAATACATAGGACATTTAGAGACCAGGGAAAGGTGATAGTTGGTTACAGTTTGTCAAGCGAAACTAACTTGGAATCCTTGAAAGAAAGACAAATGGCTTTAGCGTTCATATCTCCAAAGTCACAGTACATTGCGTTTTCCATATTCTTATACATCAAC